GATCTTTTTCCTTAGAAGATTGCAGTTAATGTCTCAAAATATTTACAAGTGATAATAGTTCTTCTTCCATGAATTGTATTCTTGGAAACTCATGTTCTGATGATTATCATTAAATTTCTCAGATTGTTAAAAGTTACTGAAGATCATCTCATATTGTTGCGCTATCTGCTGAATTTCTTTCAATGTTTTTGGATTCAAATAAAATGCAACATATTTGGAATCCGACAGATTCCGTTAAAATTTGCTATCTATCACATCGTTTTCTCTAAATCACAACTAATAAAAATTTGTTTTAAACATTGATTCAAAGTAAAACTTAATTATGACCATGTGTTTTTATCCGTATACTATAATGAATAGCGCTCAGAAAATATTAAAAACATAAAATAATATAAAACACATAAAACTCCATAAAACAAACTGCTTTCATTTTAATTACTTAATATATCAATGCAAAGATTGTTTATATCGAAGAGAGAATTTCATTCTATTTGACAAAAAATAATAATGATTTAATGGAATTTTTGATCTTTTCAGATTTTTTAAATGTTCATCATAAACATAATACCTATCAACAGTAGCTAAAAAACATTAATTCATCGTAAAACTAAGTTTCTTATTTATATGCTATGCTGATGATAACTGTTTTAAAATAAGATGTAAAGATTAAAAATGCCATTTGTTAATGTCTTTTTTTTCAAATAAAATGAAATCATCTATGTATAACAACAATCGCTTTATTTTAATGTTATGAACTGAATAACTTCAAGCTATGGGGTAATACATTTTTCAAATCTCTGTAAAACAATTCAAAATTTTTTTAATGAGAAGTCGTAAAAAAGTCAAGAGCAAACCCATTAGTGTCAAAAGAAAAGATAAGCAATAAGAACATAATAATACTTAATGTTTTAAGTTATGGGAGTGGGTGTAGGTTTGAGTGGGTGTGTCGGTGTGCCTACAGCGAAGAACAACACCCACACCCAAAATGGTATCCAAAACGAATACTTTCTTACTTAAATAAAGATGAAACAGAAAAATTTTGGAATGATTATGATCTGGAAGAAAATGATTGGTGAGGTAAATATTATTTGTACTTTTTGTTTCATCATCAAGAAAATAAATAGTTAATTGGTTTTCTTATAGGGTTAGTGAGTAAATTACTTCAAGAATTATTTTGTCGAGATTTCTTGACACCTCTTGAACAAACAGATGTTTGTTATAGTCTGCAAGTATGTTATATTAGTATGAGATGTATTTTATAAAGTATTTCTTTTTAAAATGTTAATCGTATAACTTTATCAAAATGGGCACATATGATCCATTCAGCTAATTTGCATGATGGTCTTGATGTTGTTACAAGTGTTTATTTATCTGAAAGTAAGTTAATTTTAAGACTAGAATAGGATCATATATAGTCGTTTACATGATCGTTCATTCATTCATTGTTTTACATAAAGTACGTGGTACAATATTAGAGCAATGATATCAGAGAATATCAAAGGAGACACTTTGGCAATGTTGGTTGACTACATGCTAGAGTCGAACGAAACAGGCAAACTCAATGAGTTTGAGTTAGAATTGTTTTTCAATTTCTTATTAAACTAAACAGTTCTTTGGATCATTCTTCGTTTGCTTGTCAAAAACAGACATCCTACTAAATCTGTGTGGTACGACAGGTTATTGATATAGTGTGATATGTCTGTGTTTACACGAACTGTTGAATAATTGAATGTCTGACTTTTAAATTTCCACATATAAAATATTTCAACAATTGAATTCAAGTTTTACGTTAGACATACTTACTATGTGGTATAGTATTGTCATATTGCAAAATGACAACAGTCGAAAATATACCTTGCCATCGATTTTTAATATCCGGATGATGTTTTTTTTACCAGAAGATGTGCATAATATACTTTAGTGATTGTTACACCTAGTGATGCGTTCCAGAAAAATGAATATAAAATCTTGCCAATAGACTATTCTTCTCTCAATTTTGTTGTCGTTGGTGAATCAACTCATTTTTATAGTCGTGATACTTGTTTTGATTCAGGTTCATTAATAATGAATTCATGATTTATCACTAATTGTAACTAGAAAGAAACTTGTTTCTTTCAGTAGAGTAGTCAAATTAGTCTCGGAATTTTTTTTAACGATTCTTGATTATGTTTATTTTCAGCTTCATATACAATAAATTATCCATCATTTGATCAAGACATTTTCAATCCAAATAGACATATTCTTGATATATCAACAAATTATTCGTATGTTAAGAAACACTATAAAAACTTATAATCTATGTATCTATTTTTTCGTACCTAGTGAAAAGCATCGTGTAAAAGCTTATGATCATGTACACCGATTTTTTAATCATCCAGATAATCATTTAAAACATGCTAATAATTTATCAAAATTTATTGACTATACATCAATAACATGTTATTTTTCTATACCAATACAATTACCTAATGTAATCTATGTTCATGTTATTATATTTAATCGTGATAATAATAATTCAATAACAACAACATCAAATAAAAATATATCTCTTCAAGATATTCTTCAACTTATTGAATGTAATAAAAAATTTCATGATGAACCTATGTTACCAATAAATTCATCAAGAATTTCATCTCCTACTACAATGAATAATATGACACATAATGATTTAGTTATGATTAATACAACATTAGATAATAATAATGATGATGATGAACCATTAAATGATAATATTGCTGTGTGTGACGAAAAACTTTTATAATCATCTTATCACAACAATGACAAAGTCTTTTTCTTCTGTTTCCTTGTAACAGTGATGAATCTGATCCCTCTTTTTTAATATGCTTTTTATTATAATATATCTTATGCATGAAAACAATTAAATCATGAAATATTTAAGATATAAATATTGTTCAAAAAATAAAAAAAACTGATGAAAAGTTGAACATTTATTTCCTCAAATAATCTTCATGAAATTATGACAGATGAAGAAAAACCGAAAAGAAAAGAAAGAATTTTTAAAAACCATTTATCGATGTGGTATAAAATTTAAACATAAATACGATGCCAATGATAAAGAATAAGATAGAATATCACTGTAATAATTATATCAACACATGTTGCAACAATATACCATGCAATAAATGTTTTTAATGTTATACGATTTGTTCTTTTATCTATACATGATGTCCATGCCCAACCCATACAACAAGTTGCTTCACCATCTGTCATATGAATAGTAGTTACTGGTGTACTTCCTGAATAATCAGTATTTCTAGATTGAAGTATTTTGTATATGAAATAAATTGTTTGACTAATAAAACAAATTCCAAATACAATCGGACAAATTATCCAAGCGAGTAGAACAGCCATATTGATGTTGAATAGTGAAATAATGAAACAGAGCCTTTACAAATATTTAATATAGTATACACTGTGAGAGATAACAGATATAGAGGACGTCACTGTAACGATAAAAAAAAATATAATGACACCATTTTGTCTCTTACCAAATTTTATTCACAGATAGAGAGAATCAACAACATAAAAACAAATATAAAGCAATGAGACTTCAATCTATAGTTCCACAGTACCGTATGAAAAATTTTACGTAAAAGAATGAATAGATTTTTTTTCAGAAAAAAAAGAAGATTTGAGAGAGTAGCAAAAATCGGTAAAAGGAAAGAAGTTTTTACTATTATCAAAATCATCCTGATTGTAGGATCTACATGAACTTAAAAAATCTCATATACAGTAGGTCAAAAAATATCTGGACACCTATTAGCTCTTTCTTTGTATTTTGTGTAATAAGAGTGCAAATATTAAATTTTCTCCTTAAACAAACAACAAACACATTCTGAGTCACATTAGATTTTTAAAATTTTTCATGAATCTTTTTAATCACTTGATTACGTAGAAAAATTTTTGGTAATAATAAATGAAACATATGAACTTTTAATAGATTAAGCACGATGAATTATATTACGATATTATAAATCAATGAAAAAATGATATTAATTAAAACTTTATCGATATACTTTAGTATTTCTCTATTACATATTAAATCAACAGTAGGGAACTGCAAAGTAGCTCTGGTTCCGCGACATCGTTTGTTCAAGAAATTAATCACTACTTTTTCGAATTTATAATTTTCTTTTCGATTAGAGTCAACAGTTCGACTTTTTATTTATCATTGCCATGATAGTGCAAATATGCAAGTCCAGCTTTTTCAATCTAATGACTAACTTCAAGAATATTTATAAAACTAGCCATTCTTCGGCAGATTCCAAATGATCATATTATTAAAGTGATGCTTCAGTACACATTGATTGACAAGTATTCATTTTGATCTAGCATTTATGCAAGAAAGATGCGGGTTCTGTGAACGTTTTGTAAATAAAAGATGTAACACAAAAGATTTCAAGTAAAAAAGAAAATTGTTATTTTCTTAGATGTAGTTCATACATATAAAGATATACCGACATTGCTAATTTCTTTAAATCATTAGCGTTAAATTATAATATACATACATATATATATTTTCAAAAAAATCACATAGATTAGCACAATAGATGTTTTTCTCCAGAGACGCAATTAAAACAAAATAAATAAAAAGTTTTAATAAAAGACTGATGCGGAACCGGGAACAGTACCATACAAAAAATATTAGCCGGGATCAGGACCAAAACCGTTGATTCTGCAGTTCTCTAATCAAAAGAAACCTTTCTATATTAAGTACTTTATTCTATCGAAAAAATATGCATGTATCGATTATAAAAGTCAATTGCTCATAAAACAAACAATATTGGATCTTCGTAACTTACTGAGTTGAATTCCATTGGTGAAAAATCTTTAACATTAACGATAATAACAATAAATGTAGATAATTGATTAAGACGACCATCAAGTAATCGAAGACAATCTGCAAAACTATCCACAGTGATACATAATTTAGTTAGATTTGAAGAAACAAACGTATTTGATGGTAAATCAACAAATGATCAAACTGGATTTTGAGTAAAAGATGGTCCAATACAGCTTAAACAGTTTAAATTTTCAAAGAAATCAAAAAATTTTATATATACACTTGTCGTCTGATCTATAGTTCCTACTTCACTACTGTGATAAGTCAGTGTGAGATCTGTAATTTGTTTTTTGAAGTTGTATCGGAAAAGTAATTCATCTAAACACAAAATACAAATAAATATCCTAATCTTCTATTTTTTATTTAGATAAATAAATTCCTAAGTTATTTACCTGTACAAAAGTGTGAAAACAAATATGCATGAAATTTGAATATTTTGAGTTCAGTAAGATTTGGATAAACGCCAGCACGTAAAATATGATCCATAGTTGTTGTTTCCAAATAAAGACATTTAACATTGTATTGAATTCGAGATAATATCTCCTTACAAAATCGATTTAGCATTGTTTCATCCATTGAAAAGTTAGCTCCATTATCGGTAAACACAAAATTGAGAGTGTTTGTAAAAATTTCATTTTGTGCTAGGAAATCAAGTTCTTCAACTCCGATTAATGAATAGAGAACATCCATATTGTTCAATCCTTGTAAGATCTTTAGTAATATCTCAACAGGTAGATCGAGTAGATGAATGTCGGTACGATTCATGTTTACTTCTAATCGTTGTGACACTTTTTTGAAAGCGCTGATATATATTCTTTTTTTTCCTTTGTCTGACTTGATTACAGTCAGTCAAAAAAGCAGTACTATACATTAGTACGATCCCTTATCGGACAAAGAACAATGAAAAATGCGAATCAATAGCAAATGTTCACGGATTGGTGCTTTAGATTTTTGAAATGGGCTAGATATAATTTTGATTTCAGATTGTAGAGAAAACTTTTTTCTATGGAACTGTATTGCTAGTTTTTTATTAAAAAGCGGCCTGTAATGGCAAAACACGATTTATCTACACCATTGTAGCGAAATTTTTCCGTGTATTTTGTTCTATTGAATATAAATTTTCGAACTTGCACTTAGGCATAACAAACCAACCACTGAATAGTCTCTTTGTGCTACTTAAACTCAAAAATTTTGAATTTTCGACCCAGCAAGTGTCTAGATATTTGGCTCCCCCATAATGTATGTTTGATATTGATCTGATGATTCATCGGGCTATGGACTACATACTATATGACCTCATCGAAGAAAACAAATAACATTAATGTTCAGTCTAATTTTATTGGATACAATATATCTTCATTCTCTTCTCAGCATGTTCTGAGATAAACATTGTCAAACTACTGTGCTCATATCCAAAAGAGGAAGAAAAGAAATGAATATCTGAAATCATAATCACTGAATAGATACAAAGTTTATTTTTCTTTCTGACCTCTGAAAATAATATTGAATTTAAACTTTAGTTAGTATTGAAAAATTCATAAATTTGGTTCGATTAAAAAATGCAGAGTAGAGTTTTATTGATATATATATAAGTTTTATATTTAAGGCGTGCTTGAGAGAGAACGAAAAAGAAAATTGTTTTTCATAACTGGCTTTAGATTAATTTCAGTTTTGAACACTTTTCTTTTGTGTTTATTAATAATAAACCAATAGAATTTTTTTCTTTTCCTTTGGTTAAAATTCAACACTTTAATAATGTTGTTTGATGATCTACACTAGATTCTCAGTTGTTCTGATCTCAGATAAAAAGCGATTATATATGAAGAAAAGTGCAACAAGAAGTGCCATTATTATAGATGACATGATTATTAACATCCTATTCAAATAGCGATAACACAAATTGAAATAATATTTTATTGGTAGAAAGATTATTAATAGTCTCTAATTATTCCTAATTTTTTTTCATATATAGGGATCCTTTTTGAAAATACACTGTTGGATCAGATCTTAGAAAAAAGATTTACAAGATCTAAACTATAGAAAAAATTGATAGTTTTGAAAAATTCGATAATATATTGTTAATAAGTGTAAACAGCTACTTTCTAACATGGATTTTTAAAGAAAATTAAGTTAAATAGAAAAATAAATGTTCTTAACTAAAAAGAAAAAAATTAATTTTAAAATGATTAGAATAAGCATTGTGATATGATTTTGTTTGTATCTTAAGAGAGGGTCCACGAGAGAACCACCCTAGGTCGCCGGGGAAAAAAATTTTTTTTGGATGTGGGTGTGGGTGTGTGGGGTGGGTGCGGGTGTGGATGTGGGTGTGGGGTATGTGGGGGTGCGGGGGTGGGTGTGGGTGTGGATGAAAGATATCAAAATCCATACCTATACCCACACACCCATACCCACACAGCAACAGCCACAGCCACACTCACACCCACCCCACCCACCCACACCTACATCCACATCCATACCCTACCCACACCCACACCATCACAGATGCTTTAGTAACATACTCTCTTTCCCTTCTCTATCACAGACTGTGATATACACAATAGTACTTTGTCATTTACAATATAAGTCAGTAGCTCGATCGTGTTTCACATTTTAGTTCTACAGAGATTGCGCTAACAGCTTTTTCTAAAAAGAGAGTAAACTCAAAGAGAACACAATATTCTAGATAGGATATGATTGCGTCACTTAGTGATATATACAAAGATATGTATTATGTTATTGCCAAAAAATAATGTCAAGATGTGCACTAAATATTTAAGTGATCAATTACCACAAAAGTATTTTAACAGAGAGAATCAGGCAAATATATTACTCATTCACGAAAATTTTGATAAAAAAAAGTCATAAATTAACAAGCTCATATAAATATCCGTAAATGTATGTTATTATCAACAGTCTCATATAAAACGCGAGAATAATTTGTTTACAAACCTATTCCAGAGAATGGACTGTGCATAAATGTCTATAGTATTGCTAGAGAAATGTGTCATAAATTGTACATACTGTTTTCTCAGGAAGATTTAATCATATAGAAAGGGTAGGTATGAATGTCGTTTTTGTTTTCACCTACAATATATTCGTCTCATTCTATGCACATCCACGCTTACTTAATATTTTTATTGATGTTTAAGGTGTCATCTTGGAGAACTGTTCGAAACTGTAATGTAAAAAACATTTGATAAGCGAAGATTTATGATCTATATAATTATTAGAAACTTTAAGTACTTTTTAAAACAGGTCTAGATTCCGAAAAAAAGAGTCTATGATTATGAAAATGATCGAAATGGTTCCTTTTCAAATCAGAATGCATTTTAACGACCATATCACCATTATTCTTTTGAAAATCGACATTTTAATGTTCAAAATGGTCGAGTTATAGACAATAATGCATTTTAATGGTCATTTTTTCATTATGCACTTGACGGAAAAGTACGGCAGCATTACTTAAAGAACTTCTATGATCTGTATTCTTAGTGTCGTCTTCTTTATCTTTTTGTGTTCGTTTCTATATTCTTTTTCTTTGGATTAATTAGATGAAGACTTTGTAAATATTTTTCTGGTTTTTTCGTTTTCTCTATTACCAAGAAAATTTAATGTAACTGAAATATGTTCGTGTTACAAGCACAACAAAATGTTGAACGAAGAACATGTCTGTACAGCTTCAGATTATATCGCTATTGTTAATGTGAAGGAATTCAAAGGCTTATGGAATTGATTTTTACATATGGATGACAAAGAATACACTAAACATAGGTGTGTCAAATTTTTATTTTCTTCTACTTTAATTTGCAGAGAAGCTGAATTATAAAAAAAATATTTTTAAAAATAAATATAAATTATTATCATTTATATTTGAAATAAATTAAATATTTTTATTTTGAGAACTTTATGTTTTTTGCGTGAGTCAAATTTTTTTCAAATATAAGTTAAAACAAGAATATTTATATTTATTATAAGTATAAATTATAATAAATTAATTTACTAAAATTATGAATCAAAAAGAATTCATTCTATTTTTTATATAAATTATAAAAAATTATGTATCTCAATTTTTTTAAATAGTAGGAAACGACAACCCTTATTTTATAGTAAAAATTTCGTGTAGAGAATTATTTCTTAATTTAAGTAGAAAATTCAACAGATTTACAAATGCGTAAGTATACTCTAATAGTATATTGTAGACTTCTTAATTACAAGTTCTTCTTGTCGAATGCGCTCTACGGTAACAAATATATGCGTTGTAACGCGTTCAATATGAATTAAAGCTACAGTAGATCGATAGATAAATATTCTTCTAGAGCAAATAGGAATTCTTAAAAGGCGTTGGAGACGATGATTGAGTTGAAAAATAACATTTTTTTTCTTCAAAAATCTTACGCCTACTTAGTCTTCTGAAACGCTTTTCGTTACTTCAAAAAAGGGTGTTTCAACGCATCTTAAAAACTGCGTTTAAATTCTAGCGATAACATGCGAGCTAATAAAAAAAACGCGTTTCGACGCAAACTTTTATAAAAATTCTTTTTTAGTGGGATATCTCAGCATAGATTAATGATAGAACCTTGATCTACTTTCTCAAAGGATGCGCTGTCGATAGCTCTACAAGATCTATATAGGCAAGTATTCGTTGGCTTTCTCTCATAATATTTTTCTAACTGATTGATATGATCTCCGTTGATCACACTAGAGATCATATTTTCGTCGATGCTCATCTTTTTCTCGTCTGTTCATTCTGTTCTTGTTATCGTCGTATCTGATGTGGGTGTGGGCGTGGATGTGGCGGCGACGGTGAATAAATCTACGACCTACACCTAAACACACCCATACCCAGCACTTCAAAAATATGCACTAATATTAATGTTTCACGCTGATCAGGATGACAAACAACGAGCAATAATAGTGAGAAACATAGATGCAGGACAATTTCATGAACATCTAGAACCAGTAGATCGTGGTTTCAAATTCGCTAATGTATGAAGAATTGAAAATATGTAAGGATCGCTGGAAGGAAAGAGTCACGGTCAAGTCTTTCATATTCCACTACAATCAGAAAAGAAAGCTCCAAAAAATGGGGAATTTCTCGAAAAGAAAATCCCAAAATGACTCGACTAAATGCATTACAGATTCAAGTCGATCATAGAAAACAGTGACGAACATATTCATACATATTGAATTTTATTATAATCCAGTTTTTGAGGAAAACTTTCTTTTGTAAATCTTTTCTTTCATTACATATTCACGAGTAATATATGGAAAACAGGCCTCGAACACTTTCTTATCAGCATAGATAGAAAAATTAATGGTCATGGATGGATGTTGGTGACTATGGTTCTGTCTAGAGTTGTCAGTGTTGAATCAGAGAACAACAAAGTTTATCTACATTCTCACATGCATACCCAAAGAGCGGTACCTGACTTATCTTTTTGTCGGTATACACAGATCTCTAGTGACTCGAAGATACCACTGAGGACCAGAAGGCGTTTTCTTCTTCCGGAAAAGTTCTATTCCTCTATTAAAAATTGAAAAATATAATGTTTTCAGTATGATTTTTTTCAATTCCAGATTCGAAGATAGAATCCGTTCTCGATGTTCATTCCGCAGGTTTTTTCGTTGGAGATAGAAGTGGTATATATCGATCACGTTGTACTTTAATCTTTTGCCTTTTTATCCAGTAACGACCTGTTTCGCTATGTGGGATGAGTTGAATAGCGTCTGTTATATGATGCCAGCTACGAAAATCATGTATAGCTTGAGCACATTCTGGAATTCCATAGTCATCTACTATAATAACGCCACCTATTTGTAATTTTGAATATAAATTAAATAATTGATCCATAGTTGATTCATACATGTCACCATCCATTCGAAGAACAGCTATTTGAGATATATTACAGCGTGGAAGTGAGTCAACAAAATATCCTTTACAAAAATGAACATGATCATCTAGTAAATTAAATGAACGAAAATTTTCTTGCACTTCTTCAAGCGAAACCTAAAGAAATAATGATAATAATTCGTTTCGCTTAGAATATCAAATGCATACCTTCAAAAATTCCATCGTCACCCAACGATCATGATCATTCTTCGTTCTCGCTTTCGGTAATCCTTGAAATGAATCAGCTACCCATACATGTTTATCATTATTATTCAATGCTTTAAGAACAGCGCGAGCAAATATTGCACCTCCACCTCTCCAAACACCACATTCAATGAAATCACCCGGAATTTTGTTCGCAATTACAAATCTTAATGCCCATTCGATATTTGTCAAACGTTGCTGTCCAATCATAGTGATACCAAATACAGGAAAATCTACACCTTTTATTCGTGTATCAACTTTAATTGGATGTATTGAATTATTAAAACCAGAAGTATGTTCACGCGTAAGAAGAGTTAAACCGCAGACAGTATCACGAACAACGTCGAGATAGGCACGAACAATAGGACATTCGTCAGGAAATACAAAAAATGGATTATTGTCATATGAAATCTTAACCAGAGACCCGTTACTTGAGGATTGATACCGGTTGATATTTTGAAAACGAGACACGAAAAATAAGGGATGGGAAGATCCATTCAAAATAACAAGTATAAGAATAAGTGCTGCTCCAATCCCCAAAACGAAACCATGAGTAAATGATGAAAACATTACAAATTTCTAGTTTTCTGTGATGTTTTTCCTTAAAAATATGAATGTTGATGATATGGAGTTTTTCACATTTTAATGTTCTAAAGGTCGGTAGCAAATAAAAAAGAAGATGCGAGCATAGAAGATCTCAAAAATAAGCCAACAGATAATAATTTTATTAGTGTTTCAACCATTTCACGTTTTTTCCTCAACGGCATCGATACTGATCAAAATTGGTCCTAGTGAATTGGGCTAATCAACGGACTGTTATGAGACCTTGCTCAATTTTATGAACCTGTAAGAGTCAAATCAATTTCTCGTTTTGAATTCCTGTGGAAATTACATGAGGCTTCTGTGGTACTATTATAGTACCTTGGTGAAATATGAATGTTAATAAATATTAAAGCATACAACTCGGAAATACTTTTCATCTACTCTATACTGATAACAAATAGGTGCCATACGAAACTTGAGAAAGGTTTCTATTTTAGCAACCAATTCTAAACAATTTTTCTTTGTCGTAAGGACCTATTAAACCCATCCAAAATTTCGTAAATTGACAAACAGGTCTCGTGAAAGTTTATGGAACTTTGAATAGATTTCGTAGGTCTTTAAGACAACGGAAAATGGTTCAGAATTTGTTGCAAAAATGGAAGGCTTTTAAAGTTTCTCGTGATACCTTTTTTCAGTGTAGCTTGCTGCTAATGTGGCAATAAGCTTGCCAATACTCTTTTAACGTATTGACAGACTGTAACAATCACTTTGACTTGTCTATAAGGTTTAGTCGATCTTCGATATGCTTACTGTTGTTTCCATCATGACCTATTATACACATGATGAGGTTCTCCAAAGAAAATGCGGAAGTTCTATATTTCAGCATATTTAAGAGTATCCCAAAGCTATCCTTTAAAAATTCGTAGCTATTTCAAGCTTGTTATAACCTTGTATCACAAGAATGTTAGTTTGAGCGCATATTAAATAAGTATATATAGCAATTAAGTTCATATACTTTATTACTCTTTAAGATTGAAGTATCAGTCAAGTACAATAAAGTATTTGAACTTTTGTATTAGGAAGACCTACCGACAATGAACCAAAACTAATAGACTCGTTGCTGAACTAGATAGTGCACTTGTAATTGCTAAGGAGCTCCAGAGGATAAGTTTGACATACTCTTGGGGTATACTTAGGTACGAATGAAGTATGACGCTTTCCCTTTTTCTCATTAGCTTTTCCATGATAGTTAACTTAGCTCCACTCCATAGAAAAAAGTTATTACATTCAACTTTTAATAGTTCTAGGTTTGGGTACCTTTTTCTAAACTTTTCCCTGTTTTGAAAAAAAGAGTCCTCCACTTGGCAAATATATGCATGTTTGTCGATTTTTTCAAACGAATTTAAAGCGTGTTTTTCTATTTTTCAGTTTTCTGCCATTCTGATGCAATTTCTCTAAAGGCTATTGACAGCCGAGATTTCGAATCTGCAGTCGAAGTTTTCACCCTAGCTTTAATTGGTTAGGAGTTATGGCAATTAGAAATGAGTTTTTCTTTTTTTTCTTCTTTTAGGCATTTCCATAAAATTTTGCTACAGATTATCGATATCAAATGGTAGAATCTGAAGTTTTATTTTGAAGTGCTTTTAAAAGTCAGTTTGTTTAGATTGTAAGAGTACTGATATTTGGAGTTGAATATGTGGCGCATTCAGAGGAACTTGATCTTTTAAGTTTGTTGAGAGACGATCGTCGATCATTCTTCTGGATAAGAAAGTTCAGTTCACACTATCTTTTATAACCCTTTGAGATATCTGAATTACTATACGTTGAATTAATATAAAAAAGCAGTACTATTGATTAGAAGCAACAGTACATACCCTTCATTGTTTCGTGTTAGATTTTGCTCATCGCTCAATTTCACAATATGACAACTGTGTGTTAGCACTAACTACGATCCAAAAATTCTCAATTCAAGAAATTCAACATATCCATATATCTTTGAATTGCATCTTCCGAAAGTATCATGCAGTTCAAAGAGATCAATGAACTTAAGCAATTCAAGGAAATTCAAGAAATTCAGCACGCCACATAACTTTGCATTACATTCCTTGAAATGGTTACGGGATTCAAGAAGATTCAAGTAACTCAACATATTCCTTGAATTTCTAGAATTTTCTTTGATTGCTCGATTTCGTTGATTTCCTTGAATTACATCGTAGTTTAGACTGGTTACTCACTACGTTATGTACCTTCGTTGCATTCCTCGAATTTCTTGAATCTTCTTGAATTACGAATTTCTGACTCTTAGATATTCTTGTGTATGATAGGATTGAGAATATGTGAAAATGACGGGGTGGGTATTATTGTTAAGGAGGAAGATGTATCAGTGGATTCTTTGAAGATAGGTTGCGTGACATTGTCATGAGATAAATAAGCGGATAGAATGAAGGAGAAGTACATAGTAAAGTGACAAGAAGAGAGGGTGTCAGTGGGAGAGAAGCTGAGACAAGTATAATGTGCCATCGTGTCATGATTAAATAAAAGAAAGGCATTATGAAATGATGAGAGAGAATACGTAAACTGAATGAACGAAGAAGAGAGAAGAGCTGGATAATGAGTAGTTGTATAGTGTGAATGGGAATTTAAGAGAGAAGAGAAGGAAGATGAGGAATCGAAGAGCATACAGGGTGGACAGGAATTGGTAAAGAGTAAGAGGACGATAGAGACATAGTTGAAAATGGTAGCGAGAGATGAGAGAGAGCCAGAAGCCTGGTAGATTTTATGATGAGAAATGAAACACTGCAAATAATTGAAGGAAACAAAATGCTGAAGAAGGAAGATTGTCAACCGATCCATGGCTTTTGCATCAACACTTTGTGCATTATATAGGTACAAATGAGCTGTGAATATCTTGAAGAAAGTTCTCGCTGCTAGCGCATTGCTACAGAGGTACTGCACTTTTACGGTATGTTTTTAAATGAACGCCATGTCCCATCCTCAGAAACATCAGAAAAATGATTTTCGAATTTCGAATTTCGACTTCAAACTTTACATAGAATAACCAGGCCTTACCGATAACAGTATTTTGTGAAACTTTAAGATATTTAGCGTCGCTCATACCCTGAAATGAGAACATCAAATCTTCTGATTTATCCGAATAAAGTTATCATAGTTGTATCCATAGATAGGAACTAGGAAAAGATTTGAAAGTTTCACAAAATACTATTCTTGAAAAGATCTGTTTTTATGCAAAGTGTCGAGTCGAAATTTAGAACTCATTAATCTGATGTTCTTGAGAGGTACATTTAAAAACATGCCGTAAAAGTGCAGTATCTTCGTAGCAATAAGCTAACGGCCTGAAGGTTTTTCAGAATATGCACAGCTCATTTGTACCTATATAATGCACATAGTTTTGACGCAAAAGCGATTGGTGAGTTTGTGGTCTTCTCTTGTGAGTGGGAGTGCTCCCATCGTTGATGGATTGGCTGCTCGCTTGTTATATTCGCAACAGAAAAAAGCAGTGCGAAGGGAAATCTTAGTGCTTGCATTGACGGATCAAATTGTGGTGAGTTACCTCTGAAAGAATCGTAAAGGCATGGCTGCGACTCAGCGTAGAAAATAGGTGACTTACGAGAGAGAGGTTTGCTAATCTCTGTAGCGAAAAATTGAGTGTAAAAGTTGCACTGTGTGTTCTTGACTTTGTCCTTCTTTCTTTTGACTTCTGCACACTTCCGTTACATGTTGCTATCACTTGTTGTTTTATTTCAAGGCTATTCTCATTCTAGAGGATTAGTAATAATATTATTTCAGGGGAGTATCGCTGTAATCTCAAATAAAAACAAATAAAGGCATTTTATGTCAAATGAAAGCCCATCAAAAATGGGATTTATTGGTACTAAATAGTAAAGGTTATGAAAACTTATTAATGTCGAACTTTAGAAATTTTCAGAAATTTTATACTTTTGAGGATTTGAAAATGAAGGCACTGGTAATTCAAAAACGAGGTGAAGCTTTTTCTTGGATATTTTTACATGATTCGATTGTGCTCATTGAGTTCTATAAAACTGTATGCATCAAAAAATTTTTAAGGCGTGTATTTTGCAATAAAAAATTCAAAAAACTACTTGGAAAATCTTAAAAAATGTTAAGAAAACTCATATTTTTGATATGGAGGAAGAACACTTGATTTTTCAATAAAATTAGCTTTTTATATTATTCTCACTACCTCAGGAGTTTCAAAATATACTCATCCGGTGCAATTTTCTACGTTGCATTGAATGAGTATATTTTGCAACCCCCGACGTCTTAAAAATAACAAACACAAGCAACTTTTATTAAAAAAATCAGTTGTTTTTCTTCCATATGAAAAACGAGTTTTCTTAATTTTTTTAAAAGCTTTTCCGACTAGTATTTTGAAATTTTATTGCAAAATATACGCACTAAAAAATGTTCATATATACACTTTTGTAAAGCTCAACGAGCTCTATCGAATCATGTAAAGATATTCAAGAAAAAATTTTACTTCGTATTTGACTTACCAGTACCTTAATTTTCAACTCCAAAACAAAGTATAAAATATCTGAAAACTTTTAAAGTTCAACATGAAAAGTTTTCATAATCTTCACTGTTTAGTATCAATAAATCCCATTTTCGACGATGTTTCATTTGATATAAAATTCATTGTCTTTTATTTGAAATTATGGCGGTGCTCCCCTGAAATAATATTATTTCTAACTCTATACACAAAAGTTTTTTGCACCACTACGCATATCACTCACACACGTGTATAACGTTGTTCGTTCTTTCTCACTGCTCTCACTATCGTTACCTGTTCATATTATCTACTATTCTCTTCTCTCCTTCACCTTGTCCTTCTCGTCAAAAGAGAACAATGAGCATATATAGAGGGTATAGCGCAGCGATTACACACTTATTGAAAAAGAACAGTGTATAGGGGAACAATTACAATGGTTTTGAAAAAGTATTGATTACCACGTGCATTATGATGCGTATATATGAGAATGATATACAATAAGAGTGATACACGCAAGAACGACAAGTGATATATCGTAAGGATGATATGATATATGAGTGATATAGCACAAGGATGACAAGTGATATAACGTAAGGGTAATATGAAATACACGTCATGAACTATTATATCGCTGCATCTCTTGGTAAAATATCAAATTAAGAGGTTTTGATAATTCTGACAGTTTCTTTTTCTGAAAAAAAACGGGTTTTATATTTGGCAAATATATGTATATTTGAGTTTCTATTCAAGCCAATCAGAAACAAGCTTTGCTATCTTTACCTATTTGGACGTTCTGAGTTAATTTAACCTTGGATTATTGAGCACCCGAAATGCAACCTATCAAAAATTAGCTTTCCTATTTATAGGTTTTCGGGCATTTTCATGAAACATTATTATAGGTTATTGGAGGCATGTTCCGAGGATCTGGTGTCAGATTCTTTCCTTTAGCCTAATAAAGGTTCTTATGAAATATAATGCGTTTTCTGTTTCTCATTTATTATCTTCGGCAAGATTCAAAGGTGACTAGTCACAGGCCATAACTGAGAGATCAAAAGTGAAAGGCGAAAGATGCACGACCAGTAGTGAAAAGTTTGAAGATTTTGAGTTTGAATTTTTTCATGAAGGAAATGGCTTTCCACGGAACAAGTCATTTTTTATCAACAATAGCGAATGGCGATCAGGGTGCACGAATTCCAATGTGATGTCGATTTCTGAAAGTTTGGTCCTTGCTTTCTTTGGTTATGAAAGAATTTTTTTGAGAAAGTAATGTTTTTGTATATAGATTGACAAAAACCAACAAGCTTCTGAGAGTCTCAATCTATGGTCAATTTTGGAAAATATTTATTTTGAACTTTATCATCAAGGAAAACTTTTTCAAAAAGACAAGGATTTTTCACTCAACTGAACTAAGACTCATATGAAATATAATGAGTTTGTGGTTTAGTAACCTTTGGACGAGTAACATACTTAGATGTCTTATTTATTAGATGAATGAGTTTATTTTTTTTAATATTTTGGTGATTCTTAATAATTAGTTTTCTCATATAAGAAGACAGTGTTAATCGATAAATTCGTCTACTTATATAACTATGTGAAATAGAATTTGCGATTTCTTCATTTATGATCTTTATATATATTGATTAACTAGCGAGAACCCGTGCATACTGCACGGTAGCTTTTTTTTAACAACGAAAGAAAGTTTTTCGTGAGGATAAAGGATTTTCAGGGATACAATGAAAATTTTTATTTCTGTTCTATTAGAACAATTTATTTATTTAATGTTCATTCTATTTTAAAGTAACTAATTTACAAAATTTCTTTGAAAACAATGTTTCTAGTTTTATTTTTTTCACTGTTCTTTTCTTTAATGAGTTGTACCCTGATAAATATATGGGAGTGAATTCTTGAAAAAGCAACGTATAGTTGTCCGTGACTGAATACTGGTTGTGGTAGAAGTAGTCCTAATCGTTCAAATGTTTGTCCTTGTGATTTGTTGGTTGTCATAGCAAATGGAAGTCGAATAGGGAACTGATGTCTGCGTAATTTGAATGGTAAAAATATATTAGATGGTGTCATGTACTTCTGAGTATTATAATTCGGTTTCCTTTGTTTGATCCCGTTGCGACTTCACAATCGATCGTGTGATTTTGTAAACGCCGTACGATGAGTCGAATTCCATTACATAGACCTTGCTTTACATCGAGGTTGCGAAGAAGCATTACAATTGCACCAATCTTTAATTTAAATTTATGAGGAGGCATTCCTGATGGTGAAAATTCTAGAATCCTTAACCTTTGACCCGGCACAGAGAAACAGACCGACAGACAGACACTGAACATTATATATATAGATTTAATATAATCAATGAATACTCTTCAAACAGTTCAAGCTCTTAGCTTATTGCTGCCAACATATTGAACTTTTACAGTAGTTTTTTAAATGAATGTCAATAGTCCTTTTCAGAAAAGCTGATTTTTGAATTTATTTCAACTTTGAAACTTTGCATACATATACAGCTAAGAACCTGAACTCTTTTCAGGATATTCAAAACTCATTTGGATCTAGATGACATACATAGTTCGAAATCCAAGATGATTAATCAGTTGGAGAATTGCCTTCGTGAATACAGGAACAGTAACGAGATGACAACTTGTTACTTTAGCATCGGCAGTTCTATTGTAGTTTGTAAAAAATACTCTGCTCATGCGTATTAGAGAAAAAAACTAAAACAAAGATTAACTTTAATAAGGGCACAAGAAAACGGAATACTCTAATACTACCTCCATTTGAACGACGTAATTAAGCAGAAAAAAAAACAAAATATAATATAAAACAAATACGTATTGGAAGAAGAACTTTTACTCATTGGTAAAAGCAATAAAAAAAAAGCCATAATATTTTCTGTTAGGTTAACAATTTCGGAATTTTTGTACGAATTATTCGCCCTAATTTCTACAAAAAAAGCACAATGCTATAGTTTTCCAAAATTTTTTATTACTTATTTGAGTGTATAAGAGTAAATTCTATACGTCTGAATCTATCAAATGTTTCTTATATAGTAATCGTGACGGAGAATATGAAAGTCTCAATTTGATAGTGTACGAGAAAAGACTAATAGATAAATGAAGAAAAAAAAAACTAAATTGAAATAGTCATAGTTTGTGGAAAATGACTACAGATTTTGAATAGATAATTCAGATGATATTTATTTTTGTGTATTTTGCTACATCAATTTGTATTGATTACAGCTGAAGAAGGCATTTATTCATTAAATCTCAATGAATTACATGATGCTACTTTAGAATTGATAAATTCATCATCTAGGTTTTGTTTTTCTTATATTATTGTGAACTATCTTCTGTTTTAGTTATATCTTCGACGAACCACTTGGTGATTTATTAATGCTAATATTCTTTGGTCAATATCAAGTATTATAAAAATATAATCTTTCGAAAAAAAAATCAATATTGTTTATTCGATATTAGGCAAATCGAATAGTTTTATCGGCATGATCTTTTTCCATTAATGCAAAATAAAAGTACAAGCCGATTATCATTACCATTAAATAAATTTCCAATTCCAGAACAATTTAAAAAATTAATGCTGAAGTCAAAAAGAAAAGAAATGAATTATTAAAATTTCGTTTATTTTTGTTTTTCTTTATTTATAAAATCAGCAACATCTATTAAAATTAATAACACACGTGGATGTATTCGATGTTATGTTGGTCGAAATCAACATAACAGATTTATTTATCTTGCTGGAATGTTAATTAATGAAATATTTCTTATACAATATTATGATACATTAAGAAAATTTATGAATTTAAAACGAAGAATTTAATTTCAATCGATAGTTTGAATATTGTTTTTTTTAAAGATTGTTTCAATTTCAATACTTGTTGAACTAAAGATCTTTCAAATTATATTTTTCATCAGAAAATCAATATGCTTATATGTGTGTTGGTGTTAGCAAAAGGTAAATAGATTTTATTAGATCTTTATATAGGCTTTTTTAACTTTGCATATATGTAGTAAATTGTCATCGATTACATATAAATTTTCTGGAATTAATTTTGAAACTAAAAGAGTGAAAAATTATGATAATGATATGTTGAGGGTGTGGGTGTGAGTATGATCTCAGCGAAGACGTACACCCACACCCATCGTCATGCTGTATTTTATATTTTAATATCAACCTTTCCTTTAGAATACTCAGGATATTCTTGAAGATACAGATGACGGTCAAGTAAATAAAATATTCTTGTTTACAACGAACCTCATGATAATAATATTATTCTCAACGACATTCTCCTTTATGATTTTCATTCTGATGGTAATGATGACTACAATTCTATTCTAAACGATATGCTTGTGCAGGACTTTCGTCTTCATGATAGTACGGTCAATGATACTGTTCTAAAAGACATTCTAGGGGATACAATTGATTTCGATGGAGATTTTATTCTCACTGATGATTTTGCTAGTGAACTTATACTTAATAATCATTGCGCAAATCATATTACTTTCAATAATTTTCGTGATATTGATTTATTTAATAAAACAAATCATATGAATGATTCGATTATTGATACAAATGTTGATTCCGACTTTATACTTAATTATGATTGTGGAAATCATACTACTTGCAATAATTCTTTTCATAGTGATCTAATTAATACATAAAATCCTATGAATAATTCTATTATTGATACAAATACTGTTCGTATATTTTCAATTAATAATGATTATGCAAATCATACTATTGACAATAATTCTAATCATATCAATTTAACTAATGAAAAAAATCATATGAATGATAATATGGTTATTAAAAACCTATCGTTCAACAAGGAAAATTAATTGTTTTTGCACTCGTTAATTTCTCAATGTAAAAACAAAAGTTTTTTTTCTACCAATTTCTAATTCTTGTAAAATGTTTTGTGCTCAAATAAATTCATTAGATAATCATAAAACTTGATCTGCAAATGTCAATAATATAATCTGTTCCATAGAGTAGAATTTGAAATGGTTAGGTATTACTCAGTGCATTGATACGACCAACAAATCAATTAGTAGTTTGGTTTAATTGACAGTGTCATTTGATCAATATATTGAATATGATCGAAGTTGT